TGGAGGGTATTAATGGCCATAGCCTCGGGTTCTTCCAGTTTCTTTCTAACCAGTAAGCGTAGTCTTTTTATTATAATTTTGAGTTTTGTTCCATATTTTCTCCCACTTTATCCAGTACCTTCTAATGTGATCCCTTGTAGAGTTGTTGGTAGTGGTAGCTGGTCATCATCTAGTTCTTCTGGTCTCAGAGTCATGGAGACTGATGTCCACACGTTCCATTAGTCTGTTGGATTAATTGATTCTAAGCAGCATCAATTCTCATTACTCTTTGGACACATGGAAAGACCAATAGTTGCACCATAGATGGCCACGCATAAGCCTTTAAGACCCCAGACACTGTCTTAGTGGACTATGTTATACCAGTTAACCTTGGTGTCCCCTGAGAGTATGATCCTAAGCCCCCAAACTCCTTCTATTAGTTCTACCAGTTTTTTTTTCACTTTTGGGGGGCAGGGAGGATGGATAGGAGTAATAACCAAGGGTTAGGTTGGGACTATAGCTTGGTCTTGGCTAGGACTAGGACTTCGTTTATTGGTAGGGTTATGGTTAGACTAGGGTTAGTGCTGGGGGTGAGGGCTAGGAATAAAGCTTGGTCTAGTTTTTAGGGTTACAGTTAGGTTTTTTTTAAATTTATATTATTTTTTCTTGAAATCTTTTTGATTTTCTCTCCATTTTGAAGTTCTGTGACTGGATTATTCCCTCTTTCTACTTTGTGTTTTGTTGTTCTTGTTGCAACTGTATCTCTGGTGCTCTCTTTTCAGACCTGTAGGTCTGTTTGACTTTGCAGACTTCTATATCTGGGTTGAATCTAGGTGATATTATCATGTATGTTAGTTTCAGGTTGTTGTCTGCTGTTGTTGATTGTCTCCTTTAGTATTTTTTGTAAGTTGATCTAGTTTTTACAGATTTTTAAAATTTTCTGCTTGTCTGAAAAAGACAATGTGTTCCATCACATGTGATGGACAGTTTTGCTAGATATAGGGTTCTTCGTTGGCAGGTTTTTTCTCTCAGAGTGTTACATATATATCATTCCATTCCCTTCTTCCCTCATTGCCTTCTTCCCTTCATGACTTCTACTGAGAAATCAGAGCTCAGGCTTATTAATACTCCTTTGTAGGTAACTTTTCGTTTTTTCTTAGCTGCTCTCAGCAGTCTTTCCTTGTCTTCGGTTTTGAAAAGTATGTTTTTGATATGTCTTGCTGTTTTTCTTAGTCTAGCCTGTTTGGAGTTCGTTCATTAAGAATGGTTGTCTTGGAATACCTAAAATGGGGTTACAACTTGCGCAGTGAAGGAGGCTTCCTGCGGAGCCTGTGCATTGTACAAGACAATAGGTAGACTCCTGAATCCATCCAGAATCTTCTGAGGTGGGACAAGTAGACCAGTCTGGAGTGACTAGAAGAACAGAAGATACTTCTTGGAAAAAAGACCGACAGGAAAAATACAAAACAATTATGGCAGTCCAACTGACTACTTACAGGAACAAGCAAGTTGCTAACCCAAGAGACATCAAGGCAAGTGGTCGGGTCCCCTCAGGGCAAACTCCCTTCCAAGACTAAGACTCAAGAGGAATACATGAGCGGATATGTAGTCTGACTGGTGACCACGTTGGTTACCAATAAGGGAAAGTGAGGGAAAAACAGCGATGAAGCTGTGAGCTAAGCCATACAACATTCAATAGACTCCTGTGAAACCGGTGGAGACCTGGTTGGCCAGCAGTATGTCAAGACCTGGGGACTCCTGGCCCAGAGACAGTGACATAGCCACAGAGGACTAGAGTGGAGAGTGAAGCATCCAGCTGATAAGAAGTGGGGGATATGCACAAGAACTTCCACACTTGCAGATAATACCCACTTTACCTGGTTTCAATGGTTGGATGATCAGAGTTCAACTAGAAGAACAAAGAAGAGTTAAAAAAAGAGTAATCTGATACAATTTGATGAACTTGACCTATACCTATGGATGCAGTAGCTCAAAAGAGGGAACAAATCTTTACAGCGAGGATCATTCCCACCCCCTCAGTACACAGGGTAGACAGGGATGGGCAACTTGGACATTGGCTACCCAAAATGGGGGGGAGGGATGGCTACAAAGGCAAGAAGTGACTGGCTTACAAGCTTTCAAGAGGGAGCCTAGGTCCAGAGGGCACGGAGGAAGGTAGAATCTCCACTGAGTAGTATTCAATCTGTATGGGCAGGGCTGATTGAAAGGAGATGGGGATAGGTCTCTTGTGGTACAATAGTGAATAGTTGCTATTAGGACTGACTGTGAGGGTTGGAAATGTAAAGGTAGATGTTTTTGTAGCAAAAGGAGGGGAGTGATTGACTTTGCAGTCTAGGAGCTAAGGTCCCTGGGACCATCAAGGGAGAAGAGCAGCGTGCGGGACCCTACTCAGAGAAAGTGATGCCAGACATGGAGGCAGAGATGATGACGTGGAGAGATGGAGCGGCTGGGGACTCTAGAAAGGGAGAGGGGCTGTGTGCTGACACCCGAGGGGCAGGGTTGCAGGGTATATTGGTTGTTTGATGATGCATGGAGGGGATTGTAATCATGGCAATGAAACGATATACGATAGAATGAATGTAAAGCTAATGTTCTCCCATGTAAACTATCACATAATTCACAATAAAACATTAAAAGAAAAAAAAAAAGAATGGTTGTCTTCTCTTCTTTGTTGCTGTTAAGGAAGTTTTCCTCCAACAACTCTTGAGCAGTATTCCCTGTGGGGGTTTAGGCTCTTCCTGTTGTACAGCCCTATCCCAGAAGATAACTAACTGAAACAGCCAGTGAATAAGCACTAGCCTCACTGGGCCGGGTAACCCGGGGTCATGTCCACAGTGCATTAGCTTTCTGAGTTTTATACAGTGCCCTACATTTTATGAGGAGCCCTGATTGTGTAGTGGGTTACACATGGGGTTGCTAACTGCACAGTCAGCAGTTCAAATCCACCATTTCTGCTTCCGTCAAGATTTACAGCCTTAAAACCTTATCCAGGGGTTACCCTGCCCACTGAGGAGATGGATGAGGACGGGCTTCCTCTTAGGGGATCGGGCATTGACCTGACCAAGGTGCCAGCAATTCAGCAGAAAAGAACGGTGGCATTTCTAAACCAATTTGTGGTGCACACAGTACAGTTCCTCAACCATTTTTCTACAGTTTGTGAGGAGAAACTGTCAGAACTTTCTCTTCATATCCAACAATTTGAAACAACTCTCAATATTTTAGATGCCAAGTTGTCATATATTCCAGGACTAGATGATGTCCCATTTGAAGTGTCACCTATAAGTGTCAAAAGTGTCACAAATGGTCCACAATCTGAAGCCACTTCAGAGCAATCTCAGCAGAACAGACTCTGGACCACAGGAAAGTGAAGTAGCAGCAGAAAATATCTTAACTGTAGCCAAGGATCCAAGATACAGCAGATATCTCAAAATGGTTCAAGTGGGTGTTCCAGTGTTGGCAAAAAGAACCAAAATCATATCTGAAGGACCAGACCTGGATCTTCTTGAGCGACCAGATGCTCCAGTGTCTGATAGTGAAGGAAGAAATGCAGAAGAAAGTTCAGATAGTGAATCTTCTTTTAGTGACTAAGTTTCATTTTGATAAGAAGTTCACATACATGTGTAGGTATATATTTACATTCTATAAGAGAGAGAACCTAAGCTCTAACTCAGAGTCACAGAAACATCAAATGACCACGTATCCACCACCAAGTTTCCCCTGTGTTAAAAAATAAAACATTTATTCACTGGCAGTATATGTTGTTAACCAAAATAAAGAACCTTAAACTGAAAAATAAATAAACTAATTAAAGTACAATTAGTGTTTCAAAACCAAATTTTAAAAAACCACCCATATTGGGCCGCTGTGAGTTGGAACTGACTCCATGGCACAAACCTACCCCCCCGCCACCACCATATAGTGCCTTTAGAACATCTCAGTTTGTTTCCAACCCTTGTAAGGGGTGATGGCATATAAGTCCCCAGCTTTCGGGCTTCTGTTAAAAACCGTAAGATCTAGTCACACTGGCCCATGTTTCTACTTGGTACCAATCAGGCTTGTGATTGGTACCAATCCCCACCATTCCCTTTTGTCTCCCAAGCTATGCTGTTTGTATTTCTTGCCTGAGTTGCTAATTTACAGGATTTTGTTCTATGGCCAAGGCTGGAAACCTGTGCTGGGCTGGTGGTGTTGAGGTGAGTATGAGCAGAAATGAAGGTAGAAAGACCTCCTTTACTTCTTGTCCCCTTCCTCAGTCGGAACCCCTGCAGAGTGTGGTGGACCACATGGCTGCTCACCTGGGGGTGTCCCCAGGCAGGATCCTCTTGCTCTTTGGAGATACAGAGCTGTCCCCTACCGCTACCCCAAGGACCCTGAAGCTAGGAGTGGCTGACATCATTGGTAAGAGAGCATGGGACTTTGGTGTGGGACTTTGGACTTTTGCCCTGGGAAAGGGCTACTGGGACTGTCCAGTGGGGTTCCTGCTTCCCACTCCTCACTTAGGCCTGGTTTCCTGACCCTGTCTCCTACAGACTGTGTGGTGCTAGCAAGTTCTCCAGAGTCCTCAGTGACGTCCCAGCAACTCCAGCTCCGTGTGCAGGGGAAGGAGAAACACCAGATGCTGGAAGTCTCGCTGTCTCCAGTGAGTGGGAGAAATGGTTCTCCATGCCCCTCACCTCCTCAGCTATCTCTTGTCAGTTAGTGGAGGACCGATTCCTCCTAATCCTGACTGACAGGAGACACTGCACCCCACACTCTTGCACCCCAGGCAGTGCAAGGACCCTGCTGGTCAGCTTCCCGTCCCCTCGTGCTACTGCCTCCAGTGTAGTCTACACATCCCACCTCTTTAGTCTCCAAACTCCTTTCTGCATTTTTTCTTTATGGTTAAAGAGACCTCGGGCAGTAACCAATAAAATCACAAAGACAGCCACACTTAGTACCGGTGCATGTGCTAAAGAGAGTGACTTCAGATTGGAGGTATTAGCTAAACTGTTGCCACCCCTATCTGGGAAAGTACTCTTGTCCTCATTTCACGTAAGGCCTGGCATCACACAGCTGTGTGTGTGTAAGTGGAGGGCCTGGCTTCCAGCTTGAGTCATTCTCACTCCAGAGCCTGGGCTCCTTCATGAGGGCTTGTTGTTAGTGCCACTGAGTCAGTTCCCACTCATAACAACCCTGTATAGGGTTTCCAAGGAGCAGCTGGTGGGTTTGAACCACCAACCTATGGTTAGCAGTCCAGTGTTTATCCTACAGCGTCACACCAGGACTCCTTTCAGGGGTTCATACCTCTGTTTTATGGATGAGGAGACTGGGACGCGGAGGAAATTCTAGCCCAGAAGCTGTACTCCTAATCCTGCGGCAGCTGGGTCCGAGCTCCCCAGAGGCAGCAACACAGCCAGTTACAGGAACTGACTTGTGCTGCCTTCCTGGTCCACTCCTCCTTTGGGACTCAGTCCTTTGTCTTTCCTGTCCCCAGCTCTCTGTTTCTCCCTACAATTTCTCCCCAGCCTCCCTTACAAATTCTTAACATCTATTTATTCTCCATCCAGGATTCTCCCCTGAAGACCCTCATGGCCCACTATGAGGAGACCATGGGACTCTCAGGATGCAAGCTTGCTTTCTTCTTTGATGGGACGAAGCTTTCAGGCAAGGAGCTGCCGACCGATCTGGGCATGGAATCCGGGGACCTCATTGAAGTCTGGGGCTGAAACTCCTCTCTCTTGGGGGACCAGCTTTGACTCGGGGAGAACATCCATCCCTCTTTTTTTAAAACTATCTTTAAGAAAGCCCCTTAAGGGCGATGGAAGCTGAGGTAGAATGTCTCTCCTGTTGCCCGTGGTTTCAAGCCATCAACTACGTGGTTAGATGACTACCTGGTTAGATGACTGCCTGGTTAGTTGTGCAATAGCAGTTCCCATCTGTGCTGAGTTTTTTAGTTCCTGGGGTCTGGAAAATTGCTGCTCTTTCACCTCCATCAAAATGTCTTTTCTGGGAAACTTTGCTTATATTTAAATAAGGGTTGGGTTTGGGATTCCATACCTGAGATTAATGCCCCATCTTGGGCCTTACTCTCATTTGTGGGGCAGGCATGGAGTTTGCTTAAGGCACATAACACCTGTAGGAAAAGAAATGGCTGAGCTCATATACATTAGTTTAAACATAGGCAGGCAATTGGGTGGCTCTTTGAAGGATGTGGGCAGTGGATTCTCAGCCTTGGGGGTCTTCCTTACCCTGAGGAACCTTTCCAGCCACCCTTCCTGGTGCACACACACTATTTAAGGTATAACTGAGTACTTTTCTGTTTGGGGTATTGGGATTCCAGTCTCTGGTGTTGGGACTTGCCCACCCCATCCTCTCGCTTAAGCACCCATTTGAATATCTTTGCTATCTGTCTTTGGATTTAAATGTATCTTTGTAAAATACAGTGGTTTAGGGCTGAATATGCTTTCTATCCCGGATGGGCTCCTGTGTGCTTGCTTACTTTCTGTCTGTTTTCTGTCTGTTTCTATCCCGGATGGGCTCCTGTGTGCTTGCTTATTTTCTGTGCTGCTGCCAGGTAGTCCATTGTGGGTTCCAGTTGCATTTTATTTTTCCGTCCCTTCAGTGGTGGACACCTGAGTGCCTCCAACTCCTTGGCACTGCACACAAGGCCACAATAAGCATCCTTTTGTGTGTCCTCTTCCAGGCTTGTATGAATAGTTCACTGGCATAGGTACCCAGGATAGGATTTTGGGTCATACAGGTTAATTTCTCTGTGGTTCCACCAAGTGTTTCTTGAGAAAGGTAATTGACCCTCCCACTGAGACTCCTAATTTCTTCTCATCCTCACCAGCTCTTGTTATCACCGAGTTTCTTAACTGTCCACAGTTTGACTGTGAACGTACATTCCCCAACGGCCAGTAATGCTGGGAACCTCTTCCTAGACCTACCAGCCCTTTGGAATCCCCCGTTCTGTGAGTTGCTCATTTGTCCTTGAGTTTTCACAGGAGTTACTTGCCTGTCTCTGGGAAGTTTCAGACATTGCATACAACTCTCTTAGAATGTCTTTATCTGTGTCCTTTACAGAACACAAGTCCTTAGTGTATATGAATTTGCTATTTTGTCATTGTGTCTGTTGTCTTTTGGTTTCTTATTTAAAAGTAACTAAGTTAGTTTACATTTTCTATGTTAGCTAATAAAACTAATAAGCATTTTCTTTCATATCTAGGCCACTAACTGGGGCTGCAGTCCTGCTGGTACAAGCTGGTCTGGGGCAGTGGTGGTATCTGTTCTGAGTGGTCAGACACTTGCTCTGATTGGTTGATGATGAACTGCACTGGTTGCTATTTACATTGAATTGTACTCCTGCCTTTAAACCATTGGAAATGCACCTTTGTGTGTGAGATCCACATTTATTTCCAGCATATGACAAGCCTGTTTTCTCAGTACTGTCTAGTAAAAGAGTCATTAATTCTCCACTGGCATGTGATGTGATGTGACTTTAGCAAAAGTATGCCAACTTTAAAAAAAAAAAAGAGCCAACTTTTTTTTGGGTGGATATGTAACATTCCTTAGAATTTATAATGTGGGAATATAGAAAGAATTCTTTATAGTGTTTAAATAATCTATGATATGGTACCACTCTTCTGTTTTTCAGCTCTTCTTTGTATCTATTAATAAATTTGGACACATTCAAGTGACTCATTCAATCTCAACAAAATAAATGGGAATACATTTAACTTGTATATCCTGGAGGAGTTCTTCCTTTGTGGCCCTCGCAGTGTCCCCACTAAAGCCCCTGTGCCAGAGACCATTGTTTGCCCCATTGTTCATTCTTCTTCCTGCCCATGTTCCAGCTAAGAGCAGAGCCACACTGAATGCAGGCAGTACTTCCTGGACTTCCTAGCCATCCTTGCTGCTGGGTGAGGCCAAGTAGGAATCCAGGCTCATCTCCTTTACTTTCTTCCTACCTGCTGGCTGGATGGTGTGCTAGCGCCTGACCACAAGATGGTCTTTGGATTGGAAGCCATCCAGGCTGGAATGTAAGAGAAGAGCCTGAGTCTTGGCCTCTGTAGAGCATCTTAGCAGCCCTATACTGCTGACATCTGGGCTTTTACGTGAAAGGAGAACTTCTGTCTATGTAAGTCACTGTTGCTTTGGGATTTCTGCCCCTTAAAACCACATTGAGTTCTAACCCCAGAATGTTGTGACTGCAATATGCAGTGATCCTCTTTGGGTACAGTGTGGAATTTTTTTCAGAGGAATCACTGGTTGTTGAATATGCATGCACCCAGTTTCTCTTGAATACTATTAAATTGCAAAAATGGTTGTCCCTTTTATATGCCCATTAGACAGTGCTAAAAGGATCCAGTTTCCTCGTCTTCCTGAACATTGAATCTGGGCAGGATATGGGGAATCCAACTTATTGGAAATGAATTTGCGTTCTGGGATGAAAGCGATTGCTCATCCCTTCATATGTCTGAAAGACTTCTGTTGGTAACCTATGAAATTCTCTTCTTTAGAAGCCTTTGACACATTAACAAACTCTTATTTGGTGCCAGCTATCAAGGCTGACACTTTCTGTCAATCTCATGAATCCTCAGCAGTCCAATGAGGTAAGTGTTACTACTTTTCCATTTTACAGGAGAGAAAACAGAGGCTTGGAAAGATGATTTAAGGGGCTCCAGACCACACAGCCACCAGTTGCAGAGCCAAGATGGAAGCCCAGATAGCCTGACAAATCCCTAACTAGAGCAGCACTTCTCAAACTTTAATGTGCCCCCACAGCACCTAGGGATTTTATTGAAAATGTAGATTTTGGTTCACACCTCTCAAGGGTGGGGGTGCTGCTGGTCCAGGGAGTAGCCAGGTGTCCGGTACCTTTCTCTATAGCCCTCTGCCTTTGAAAGCTCCCATCTCTGCAGCTCTGCATGCACTTCCTCCATAAAGCCCACCAGACTCAGTGCATCCCCTCTCAACCTGGAGTCGGGTTCTAGTTCAGGCACACTACTATGCCCATTTTCCTATGTCTTAATTCCCTACTAGAGTGTAAGCTCCTGGAAAACAAGTACCATTACTTGTTCTCAAAGATCTGTAATCTAATAGTTACCCAACAAATGTTCGTTAAAAGGATAAATATGTTCTTTGTCTCAAAGAATTCCGTCACCATCCCTCTCATTGCATGAGGCAGAAACATAAGACTCAGTCTACCATCTTTTCACACAAATAATGGGTGCATTATATGGTTTTTGCAAACTCTGTAACTCCCTGGCACGTGAGTCTCTTTTGTGTTCTATGTATATTATAGGCATGTTGTTGTTGTGAGTACTATCAAGTTGGTTTCAACTCATAGCAAACTTGTATAGAGTTTCCAAGGAGTAGCTGGTAAGCTTGAACTGCCAAGCTTGCAGTCCAGCGCATTAACCTGTAGCACCACTCCAGGACTCCATATTTATAAGCATATCTGAATTAATTAGATATGTGCATTGTTTGTGGGAAAACATGGTAGTCTCATATATCAGTTTGTTATACTATGGTGGCTTGTGTGTTGCTGCGGAGCTGGGAACTATGATACCAGTGTTTGAAATCGCAGCAGAGTCACCCATGGTGGACAGGTTTTAGTGGAGCTGACAGACTAAGACAGACTAGGAAGAAGGAGAGGTGGACCACTTCTGAATGGTTAGCCACTGAAAACCATAGGAACAGCAGTGAAACAAAGCAACAGCTACAAACATCCATTAATCATCGGAAAGTACAAAGTATGAATCTACTTTGGAAAGTAGGAAAATTGAAAGTTGTCAAAAATGAAATGAAACACATAAAGATCAATATCCTAGGCATTAGTAAGTTGAAATGGACTGGTATTGGTCATTTTGAATCAGAAAATTACATGGTTTACTATGCCAGGAATGACAAATTGAAGAGAAATGGCTTTGCATTCATCATCAAAAAGAGCATTTCAAGATATATGTTGAAATACAATGATGTCTGTGATAGGATAGTATCCATACGCCTACAAGGAAGACCAGTTAATACCACTATTATTCAGATTTACATAGCAACCACTAAAGTCAGTGATGATGAAGAATTCTATCAACTTCATCAGCCTGAAATTGATTAAACATGCAATTATTAAAAGATTCATTGATAATTACTGGTGATTGGAATGCAAAAGTTGAATTATGGCCTTGGTGAGAGAAATGATGCTAGAGATCGCATGATAGAATTTTGCAAGACCAATGACTTCATTGCAATTATCTTTTTTAAACAACTTAAAAGGTAACTGATTACATACATGGACCTCACCAAATGGAATACACAGGAATCAAATTGGCTACATCTGTGGGAAGAAACAATGGAGAAGTTCAATACCATCAACCAAAACAAGGACAGGGGCAGAATGGAACAGACCCTTCAATTGCTTATATGCAATTTCAGATTGAAGCTGAAGAAAATTAAAATAAGTTCATGAGAGCCAAAGTATAACCTTGAAAATATCCCACTTGAATTTAGAGATCCCAAGAATAGATTTGATATATTAAACACTAATGACCAAAGACCAGAATAGTTGTAGGATGACATCAAGAACATCATACATGAGGACAGCAAAAAGTCATTAAAAAAACAGGAAAGAAACTAAAGACCAAAATGGATGTCAGAAGAGACTCTGAAACTTGCTCTTGAGCACAGAGAAGCTAAAGTGACTGGGAAAAATGAAGTAAAAGCTGAA